GGGCGCCGATTTCGCCGGCTCAGGCATCGTAACAAACACACTAACCACACAGCCAAAAAGGAAGGCACTGAAGCGCTTGAGAAACTGCTGCGCGCGGCCCCTTTTTATAGGGACCTTATGCAAATTAATGAGCTCTCTGCTCTTAGTTCCTATTGGTGGCCCGAGCTACTCACGGGCCTTGTTCTCAATCGCCCATTCCTATTGGTTAGAATTCGATCCGCCTTCCCATTGGCTGCTTTGGCAATGCCAGCTGCTCAGCCTATCGACGCTCGTCCGTTTCTCTGGGAGGGGATATAAGGCTGGGCTGCTACGACAATTTCGTTCCTCCGCTTTTTCCATTCGCAGGGAAAGAATCGACATGTCCGGCCGCGGGAGGCAGCGCGGGAAGGCGCGCGCCAAGGCCAAGTCGCGCTCGTCGCGGGCCGGGCTGCAGTTCCCCGTGGGCCGCGTGCACCGGCTGCTGCGCAAGGGCAACTACGCGGAGCGCGTGGGCGCCGGCGCGCCCGTGTACCTGGCGGCCGTGCTGGAGTACCTGACGGCCGAGATCCTGGAGCTGGCGGGCAACGCGGCGCGCGACAACAAGAAGACGCGCATCATCCCGCGCCACCTGCAGCTGGCCATCCGCAACGACGAGGAGCTCAACAAGCTGCTGGGCAAGGTGACCATCGCGCAGGGCGGCGTGCTGCCCAACATCCAGGCCGTGCTGCTGCCCAAGAAGACCGACAGCCACAAGGCTAAGGCCAAGTGAGCAAAGCAGCAGAGCACCCGGGAAGCCTTCCCTAGAGAAACCCAAAGGCTCTTTTCAGAGCCACCAACAAAATTCAGAAAATGGGCTTGAAATTCATTTTATACGATAACAGTTTCTCATCCAAAGGTGGCTACAGAAATGCAGTCAAGCACTTGGAATCAACATTATCACCCTGACCTATCCATTTTAACTTCCCGCGACTCGCATTACCTCTCCCCCGCACCGGCCCAATCGGGAGGCGGGGCCGTATTTTCCTAATAGGCTCCTATTTCCGATCTTGGCAGTTTCCCATGTGCAGCCTATCGCTGCACAGCGCAGGGTTTTCAAAGCAAGCGCCCTTTTAACTTTAAACTGCTTTTGATCTTACAAATATACATATATGTATACATATATAAAAACAGACTAACCACATAGCTGACATCTTTTCTGTTCCATCTCTCTGCCCCTTCGCTGGGATGTGCAACTCCACACTATCTGTTTTCTTTTATTCTCCTGGCAATGAGAGCCTGAGCCAGAACAGTGTTTCAGCTCCTTTTAGGAAAGCTTGGGTGGCTCTTAAAAGAGCCGTTGTTTTCGAGAGTGGACCAAGAGCTTTCGTCCACGGAACGGGAGGGGAACAAAGGTTACTTCTTCTTGGGTGCCGCCTTCTTTGCTTTGGCTGCTTTGGGCTTGGTCGCCTTGGGTTTGGCAGCTTTGGGCTTCACCGTTTTCGCCTTGGCCGGGCTCTTCGCTGCCTTCTTGGGCTTGGCAGCCTTGACCACCTTCTTGGGGCTCTTAGCCGGTTTCTTGGTCGCGGCAGCCGCCGGCTTCTTCGCCTTCTTGGGGCTCTTCTTCACCGCCGCCGCCTTCTTGGGCTTCTTGGCGGCGCTCGCGGGCTTCTTGGCCGCCGCCTTCTTGGGCTTGGCTGCCGCCGCCGCGCGCTTCTTCGGCGCTTTCTCTTTCGTCTCGCCGGGTTTCTTGCTCAGCTTGAAGGAGCCGGAGGCGCCGATGCCCTTGGTCTGCACCAGGGTGCCCTTGTTGACGAGGCTCTTGAGCCCCAGCTTGATGCGGCTGTTGTTCTTCTCCACGTCGTAGCCGCCGGCCGCCAGCGG